GTGTATTTGTAAATCTGAACATTTTATGAGGTTTTATTTGGGCCCCTACAAGGTTTTTATATGTCTTTGAAAAAACATTCTTTTGTATACTTACTTATGTTCTTAACTTTTGGCCCTCAATAAGTTTTCTAAACTTCCTTTGGAGGTTTTTGCATATGATCCAGCAACCTTGCTCAAGCTAAGCAGCTTGTTCTGGTCAGTACCCAGAAGGGAAACCTGGGAACCTTATGTACAATCACCTTGGGTTCCAGAATGGAAAAAGGCAAAATATAAATAAAATAAATCATATTCCCTCGCACTCAGTCAGTCGACAAGGAAACCTTAACACAGCTGTATTAAGCACTTCCATATGGTGGTTGTGCTAAACTCCTCTGTTCCTGATGTTCTTAGCTAAAGGCTGATGGGTCTCCAACCACCACTTGCAGGGAAATACTATGCAATGTATGTAGACTGCAAAGACAGGCAAGTTATCAATACCTCCCAATATCGATTCCAGCATAGTCTTTGGTGATGCCTAAAACAGTGCCGTTTGGAAGAGGCCTTGGTGTTTGTTTCTAGGTTCTGTAACTCAAAGTTACTGCTTCATACTTTCATTGTATAAATCACTCAATTTCAATTTGTTGCTGAACTACTTCCTTTTTTTCAAAATTCACATTGACAGTAACAAATTTTCCAAAAGACCAAGCACAAAGATGATCAGAGACCTGAGAGGTATAAATTTTATTAATTTATATCTGATCAGCATGTTATGATATGGTCACACCTGCTCATACAGCTGACATTCTTTATAGCCAAGAGGGATTTTTTTCTTTTAAAAATACATATTTTTTCCAGCAGGAAGGAACTTTACAAACAAACATTGTTTATATTAAGAATTAAAAACAATGGCTTTTGTCAAATATGTGTAGAACAGGGCTGGTCAGCACTGGATCTTTTGGTGCTTTAAGCTTCAGCTTTCAGGTTCTTCCTGTCCTTTTTTATTTTATTTTTAACTTTTTTTTACAAATAACACTGCATTATTAGCACAAACACATAGATCCAAACCCAAACAAAATCTGGAAGTGAAACAAAGAGGTAGACGTTAACCATTGCACAGCTTCTCTAGACTGTGCAAGGTGCTTCAGTCTGCTCCTACGAGTTCCATTTGTTTCCATGTACCAAATTACAGTTAAAACAAGACAAACAACAGTTGACCAGGGGTTCAGAGTAATGGTGGCTCCCATGCAAGCACCTTGATAATGTGCAGGATTGCTACCAGATTTGTGCCCGGTAGCATTCAGGCACTGTTTCTGAGATCAGATGTACCCAAATAGGAACTGCCTACATGATCAGTCCAAATTGCACAACTGTGGTACTTCAAAAGAAGAGCCACACGGCTGTAGTCATGTACGTGGCCCCTACATGAAGGTGGTGGTTCTCATAAAACGGTGCCTCCACGCAAATTCCACTGGCTCACAAGACTAGCAAATCCAGTGTTCTCCTCTGGAAAGAGAATGCTGTTCATCAGAACTGAGCCTCAGTTGAGAAAGCGAAACTGAACAGCACCCACACCATTGCTTTTAAAAAAGCAAAACATTCCTTAAATTTAGGTGGTTGCATAAGTACAAAAAATATAATGGCATAATTGTTCATAGGAAAGGACCTGAAGTCCAATTTCTCTATATGGAAAGTTACCTCAGAAGTCTGGATTGTCTATCAAGCAAACATGAAATGTTTATAGTTTTATGCTGTATTATAGATCTTTGTAAAAATGACTGCAAGACCAACGCCTCAACAGCAAATTTGAGTTTAAATGGCAGAAGAATCTTCCTTGCCTTACACACCAGTATTTCTTAGCTCAAATCCAGTCCCATCTTGCACAGAAAGATAAATCTCTGTGATATTCCTGAGAACTATAAAAAGATCTATTTATTCAATCATATTGTTAATAAACCATATACAAACTTACAGCATGAACAGTGATTTGAAGTTGCAGAGTACATAAAATAAAGCGGGTACAATTTTGCCCTTCCTTGTCAAACATCCATTTATAAACCATTATAATGCACAAAACAACCGGGGGAGGGGGGAGCTTTCTTTATGCAGAACAAAAGGAAAAATGCCATCTATTTGTCTGTACTGAGGAAAAAAACCATCTTTTGGTATTTATATCTAGCTATAAAAAGCACACTCATAGTTTAATGGATTTACTGAGAAAAAACTCAGGAAGGAAATCAATTCAAACATAAATCCAAATATGACCAGCCCTTTAACAAAATCACACTATAATGTTGTGCATTCATTCTGATCATATGTGGCACAAAGGGGAAAAAGAGATAATACAGATATATAACAGAGTGGGGGAAAGATCATATTAAGTTCAAAAAGTGTAGCAATAAAATGCATAGACTTTCCCCCCTCTTTAAACAGCCATATACACTTTAGGAATTTTGAGAACAAGTAATCCACAAGTTTTAAGCAGTAGAAATAAAGCAATTCAAAATTTATTATGGTAATTTGATGACTTTGTAAACTGAGTTTTATTTTCCTTTTTAAAATTACTCCTATACATTCAAATGCATAACTCGGCACACAATTTCTTTCACATGGCTCTTCAATTTCCATACAACACTTGAAAGTATAAGCCTCCTTCATTACTTCTGGCTTTGGCAACCAAAAAAAGAAAAAAAGCCATATCTTTCTCAATACCATTCCCCTCAGATACCTGCAGTTTGAAAATTCCAAATTTTCACTAACTTTGGTCCCAAATAATAATTCCAGAAAAATATTCATTTTAGTTAGTTTTAGCAACACAAAACCTAAATCCAGTGGCACTTTAAGATGCCACAAAATTTATCCCAGCATAAGCTTTCATGAGTCAGTCCTCACTTCATGTGAAATAGTGAGCTCTGACTCACAGAAGTTTATGCTGCAATAAGTTTTGTGAGTTTTTAAGGTGCCACATATTTCTGGTATAACAATTTATCAGGGGGCAATTTATGAGGTTGGATCCAATCAGCTTCTCCACTTCAATCTCAATTACTTCCCCTCCTTACTGCAGTCCCCAGTCCCACATCTTTGGTCCATTCATGTGCCATAATCCTCAGCATACCCTTTTGCACCAGTGGAAAAGCTGTTGGATTCAACCCATGAAGCCTAACTGCCATCACACCCAGCTGTTCAAGCATGCTTATTGTTTTCTACAGTGAAGCAATTTGCTGCATAGCAATAAGAAAACCAGCTTTTGGGCACAAAGACTGCTGGTGTGCCAATGCCACTCATTCCAATAGGGTAATATGGGGAAGATGCCATTAAGATTACTGGAGGCTGTGCAGGAACAGAATTTGGTAAGGGTGTTTGTTTGTTTTGGCATAATTGTGTTTAACCTGGGCCAGTTCACATATGTATGTTGACTGCTTGTTACGCATTTGATTCTAAAGCAATTCAAATAAAAATCATCTCAAAAACATAAATATTTTCAATACAGGCAGTTCATACATTCAGCTACAAGTCATCAATTGTTGACTAAGAAAGTTAAGAAAGGTCAAGTCTGACGCAGCCAGGTATTAACCAATCAGAAGTTATTTTGATGGATTCCAAACAAGAGAATGATCTTGTCCCCAAATCCCACAAAACTCTTTTAAGTGTGATTTAAAATCATAAGAGGAAATTCTTCCAAGAATAAATTACAGAGTGTAAAGCTGCACAAAAACTGTAGAAAATAGATTGTCAGTTCAGGGAGGAGGATAAAAATTGTGTGTGAATGGCACACATTGCTTGAATGGCAGTAGATCTAAACTGTTAAGACCTTAATGGTTTCTTGTTAGTAAATGACTCATAAAATATTTTTTAAAAGTCTCCTCTAGTTGATGTTTTACATTATCTAGTTATGACACTGACATAAAATTGCAACACTATAAAAGACAAATGCAGTTGGATTTCCAACACACACACATCAGAGCTAGGAAAGAAGCAATCTACAGACTTCACAGCCAATTTCTTCCACAGTAATTTTCAGCCTTTGCTTTGTACATATTCTTCCATACTATTGAAAACGGAAACGTGATTGTTACATTTGATAAAATCTTGTTTTACTGGGCATGTTATTTTTCAAAATAAACTGTTATAACAGAAAATTTGAGATTACAGGAAAATGGCTTATCCCATTCACTCATCCAGATTTTGTTCAAGAAACCCAAAATATTCAGGTATCCCAAGACCAGTTGTATCATTACAACTTTCCACGGTGAGACTGCTGAAACAGGCTTCTCTGTGTTCGTGGGTCATAACAGCTGAATTATATCAGAAGAGGTTTTGCATGATGATCCCATGCAAATCAAGCTAGAGTCTCCATTTTGGGATGCAGAGTTTTGATGGACTGGAACGTGACAGAACCAGGCACCATACTGTATGTATGCAGAGGAAATAAAACGGAGCATACTCCAAGTAATCAAATACAAACTAGTAGCCTCTTATTGCTTTTTTAGTATTTCCAATCAAGGTGAAACTCCTTTCAATGCACACTGACAGCAAAACATGAATTCTAACCTTTGTTAGCAATTGCAAGTATGGAACAGGAGGCGCTCATCTCAGTTAAGTGACGATGATATTGTATATGTGGAATCATGTGATGCAAATATGGAAGGGTATTAAGCTGTACCCTCTTTACATCACCATAGTGACTGACAAGAAACAAGATTTAGCATAAAGTTAAACTCTTACAAAACTGAACTGGAAGTTGCTGATTACTTGCCAATCAACCTAACCCAATATTAATTTATAGAAACTCTGGGTGTTAACAAATGAACAGCTATGTTTGAAACAGACTAGACCAGCTTAGTTTATCACTGCAGGGCTTAATATATAAGTGCATGTGTATGTATAAATATGTATATAATATACACATAGAAGTACTTCTTAAACACCTTTCTTTACAT